TCCCAGGGCAGTAGGACCTTGTTACTGACTCAGTAACAAGTAGGGGGGTCCTACTGAAACACGCTGAGGCTTACCGGGGCCGAGATACCAGTCTGTCACTCCCCCCGGGTCGCTTCCTACCAGCTCAGCCATTGGGGTCTCCCACGGGTCCCCTGGTTCTCCGCGAGTTTCGGGGTCTGTTGCCTCCTCTGGTTTCTCCCGCAGTGGGACTTCGCACTGGCCTGGAGAGGCCTCGGTTCCCTGTAGCTTCAGGAATGCGGGCAGGTCCTCTGCCAGAGCTCTCCCTATAGGTGCTTCACCTGCGGCCACCAGCCCAGACTGAGCTGAGTTCCCTCTTTTTATACTCCCTGAGCATTTAGAGCATGCCCAGTACGAGCGGGGCGGGACTTCCGCCGACAGAGCTGTCTGGCGCTGCCGGGGCTGCCCCATCACAAGCAGGTGTCAGTTGTATGTTTTCTTCTCTGTGTCTAGTTTCTCATAGGGGTTCCCACCACCATAGTATCTGAGCACCTGCTTTAACTCTCTTTCAATTGTTCAGAAAAAGTCCATGAAGAGGTTGAAAGAGTTATAGGATCTGCCCAGCTTCGTTATGAACATCGGACACAAATGCCATATATGGACGCTGTCATCCATGAAATTCAGAGGTTTGCTAATATCCTGCCAATGAGCTTGCCTCATGAGATTACTGAGGATGTCAGACTTAATGGCTATGTTATTCCTAAAGTAAGTTGTTAAGAGATACTTTAATTACCAGGACCTTCAAACTCACCACTTAAAATGAATAACAATGGATTATTTAAATTCCTCCAGACCAGAAATCACATGACCTCATGCACATAAACACCATGGTGATCAGTAGGGATTGAACCTGGGGGCTTCAGCATCAAAAGTACCAGCTCATCTAACTGCAGCTAAAGGAGTTACTCTGATAGCTCTTGATAAAATAGTAGGCCCTTCTCCTCATTGGGGCTAATACAACCCTAGAGAAAGACATGATCACAGAAGCAGATTTGAATGAGAAGGGAGGATGTTTTTTGAATATTTCTTTTTCTCTTTAACTTATCCCATCCCATCTCCTAGAACTGGAAGGGACCTTGAAAGGTCATCAAGTCCAGCCCCCTGCCTTTACTAGCAGGACCAAGTACTGATTTTTGCCCTAGATCCCTAAGTGGCCCCCTCAAGGATTGAACTCACAACCCTGGGTTTAGCAGGCCAATGCTCAAACCACTGAGCTATCCCTCCCCCCCCCACTTTATGAGAACTAAAGATGTTCTATCATGAAACTGACAGCAGATTGAATGCTCTGTGAGCACTTTGGCTTCACATGTGGTGATGAGTTCACTGAAGCCGAGTCCTTCCCAAACAACAGCCTCCTCCCCAACACAGTCAGTTCTGGCTCACAGGGCAGAAAGCCAGCCCCACCACTTCTGGCAGCATTCTTGACTTCATCTGGACAACTCCCATCCACAGACTTCAAACTTCTTAGCTGCTGAGCTCAGATAAGACAAACTACAAAGTAACACATGAAGTGATGTCTGCAGTGCTCTGGTTCAAACCTGTGACATGCTTATGGGAAAGAGGGCAGGAGGATGCTGTCCTGAGTTTGTCAATTATGAAGACATGAAATACACTGGTCTACAATTTTTGAGAAGTCGTCTGCTTCAGAGATAAAATGTGCTATTTATTATGTATTTTGATGTGCTGAATTCAAATATGACAATTAAAACAACTGATTGGCTACTGTTTCTAAGATATTTAAATTTTTACATTTTATGTCTATGGATATTGTGTAGATAGTAGAGTTTTAATCATAAATTGTAAACCTAGGTCTTTTCATGTGTTTATGGTTGCTTTACATGATAATATTTCACCTGTCCTGATATGTAACACTTT